TAAAGAAAATAAAATGGTATAAGATTTATATTACAACGATTTAGATAATTAAATTCGCACGTGCAAGCAACTTATTTACTGGAATAGGATGTTATCGTTTCTAATTGCAATATAATATAAACGTAATTTTGAATGGGTGCATGACACCCGATGATGACGTTTGTTACATTGTTGAGTACGAACACATGATCGTAAATTGAAATTTTAAATACGCAAATGATGATGAAAAATATACTGAATTGCTTTGACTTCTTGTTCTTTATTTTCCTTCTATAAGTAGAGATCATTGTAGAAACAAAACTAAATTAAAAGAAGTGTATTTATCAAGTTGATTTACTTTGTATACATAGATACAAAGTAAATCAACTTGAATCGCATTAAAACATCCGGATATCCTTGTTACTATCGTCGCTTAACAAACAACAACCTCAGGTAATTTAAAGTAACTTTATAGGAGCGTGAAAAACTTGTTTATGTTATTGTGAAAAGATTTTTTATAATCTTTTTTTATCTATTATTAATACTAAGTTAATTTTAACTTTTAAGTTAATTACTAACAATACTTTAAAAAAACTTTTATACAATAATATGTGCAGGTTTTTCGCGCTCCTATAAAATTACTTGAAATGACTTAAGAGGGAGCAGAGGAAAAATTCCTAATCTTCGATTTGATTTTAGAGGGGTATATCCACTTTAAAGTTAATACTAAAATATTGTATGAGTAAACACACGATATATTCAAGCATAGACATTAATCGGAAACATAAAACAATAAAGTTTCCTCGGTAGATAAAAATCACGAAATTACCTCTAATTTTCAAATTTTTTCGATTTATCCTCGAAATGCTACAGGTTATTAGGACAAAAATGAGATAAATAATTATATTTATGCATGATCGAAAACTGTCACTACGGATTCTTTTTTAATCCCTTTAGTTTTAGAATTATTCCGCTAAAACGAATTTGGTACTTTTAATGCGCAAAATTCAACATCTTCTGTCGCATGTCACGCGAAATTCAGGCATATACATATTTGTTTCACAAATTTGGTCGGAGCCAACGTCAAAACTTTTTTGGCATGAGAGCTCTTAAGAGGCTTTGTTTGCTAAGCGACGACATAATAAATACCAGATTGTTAGTTACAAAATAAAATTCACTCAGAAAACTTTTTTTGCTAAGAACCGACAGAGGTGTTTAGGTTTCATAAGAAAGTTTTTATTCTCATGGAACCACAAAATATTTTCCATGCGAAAATTTGATTGTCAAAAAGTTTAAGTACTTACTTAGGTAAGTATGTACAAATCATTTTATAGTTGGAACTATTATAATGTAGTATTATCATATATAATATATAGCATTTATAATAAAAACTTTGTCATGACAACTAAACAGCTCTGTCAGCTCAGCTTAGCCAACAAAGTTCTTTCTGCGGGGGTATCCTGCCTGGTTTTAAAGGCAAGTGAATGATCTCATCTAGCGCCCAGAGAACTATCAAGTTCGTTAGAGCACCGATGTCATCATATAGTAAATGATAAATGAAAATATCAGTCAACTTCATTAGAGTTGGTATAACAAGTCTAAAATTTCTTTTTAAAAACCAAAAACTCGACTGCAAAAATATTTAGCTTGAAAGATAAAAAAAAATATTCTCCCCTCTCACCTCACTGTCAAGATGAATCTAACGACACCTCATATGTACCTACCCCCCATATGCATGTAGACCCCGGTGGCGCGTGTATGGCTCTTTACCGCCGAAAACAAAAATGAGACATGTGCTCCGCAGTGAACCGCTTCTACTTATACACTGTGTATACCAGGGAGTTGATACAATAATATAAACATAACAATAAACAAAATAAACTTACTCTCTTTAAACTTCCTGATGATTTTCTTCATATTTTTTCTTTCTGTGTCTTAATGTGAACAACAGTTTTTCCAGGCCAGGTGTGTACAGGGGTGACCAACAGGTGCTTCCTGCCACGCGCGCGGCCCGCAAGTGTGGGAGGGCTGGTCCGTGCCACCGGCGTCATCACGGTCCGATGCCGAACGGTAGCGTCACGAGGTTGATAAACTCTAGATCTCATGTAGAACAGTGCAAGAATAATGTTCACTGTAACCTCATATCGCCGCAAGGTATGTACCGCACCAACAAAGCTCTATGGTTTTTGACTGATGTCTAGATACTGACAAATAGTGAATATTTGAGTATTGAGAATTAACCCTTACAGCTTCTGTTTAACGTTGAATGTTGCAACAATGGTGTCAAAAATTCAAAATTCAAATAATTTTTATTTCATATGTAAGCAAATTACACTTCAAATAAATTATCATATTGATTCGTAAGATAAAGTCTTCTGAGAAAATGAGCAAGAAACTCTAGGGGTTGTTCTTTTAAATATACATTTGAATACATTTAACATTTACAATATTTATTTAAACATCTTAAATTGAGACTACGTGCAAGAGATAAACTAGTCACTACCACGGATTTTTTGTCATCCAAAGACGCAGAAGCTGTATATAACCTTTAGGCTCAACTCACACTGACGCAGAGTCGAAAAGTCGCGTCGCGTCCTGTTTTTCAACTACACCGCGACGCTTCGACTCTGCGCCAGTGTGAGTTGCGCCTTAATATAAAGTTTTTTTTATAACGTCAAGGGACGGGACGAACAAGTCATGCGCCTGATGGTAAGCTCACGCCTATTCATAACAATTGCAGTGCCACTCAGAGCTTTAAACCTCAAAGATCTGAGGGGCACTGCCACTGCACCCGACACCCTGAGACATAAGTTGACAAGTCCCATTTGTAATTTCACCAGCACTCTTACCCTTCAAAATTGAAACACAGTAATGCTAACATTACTGCTTGGCGGAAAAAATAGGCAGTACTTCCCTGGACACACTCTTTCACAAGGTGCTCTACGGTTACTACAACTTGTTTCACTATAGTTTAGTTTAGTCAGCTTACTTAGTTTACGTCTGTATGAAAAATCGCCTAGCTCAAATATATGTTTCAATTAAAATGTGTTCATTGTCCGGAATACCTACTTACTTTAAAAGATATGTTACTCAGTTTTTTTGATAGTTTCGCCAATTAGCGATTTAATATGCGTATAATATATTTTCTCTTATTACATTTGCCATAACAGTTATATAAAAATAACATAAATACGCATAAGACACAAGCCGAGCTCAGTGACCGGATCCATGTCTGCAGCGGAAGTGCGCTTGGCAAACCACGTCCACGCGTGCTACCTGCGTTCTATATGCTCCCGTAAAGAACATCTAAAAGGTAATTCACACTGAACGCAATCAGATTTTGTATAAATTTCGCTGCATGCTTTGTAGGAAATTAAACTATTTGTCCGGATTTAAATTACACACACATATGTCTGTATGTATATGTATATATATATATATATATATATAAACAAATCAACGTTTCGGGCCCTTTGCAGGTCCCATGGTCACGGTTGACTAGGTGGTAAAGTCGTCTAATATTAATGCAAACCACCATATTTTTTCACTATAGTTACAAAAGTTATTAATTATATATCTTATTTTAAATTTTGCAAAGAAACATTCCAATTTACGCTACATAACGTTTTACAAATTATTTTATTGAATGAATTTTTTTTAACTTAAATTTATTATTAATTAATGATAGAAATTAGACTAAATTAAAACATATTAATTAGTACTGCAGTCTTATTGTGTTTGGGATTTTTTATCAGAGGAAATACTGCTGCATTACGTCGAAGTTAGCACCTAGGTGTTTATTTCTTCAAGTGTAATAAATACTATTTGAAATATAAAAACGTAATCTAGTGTAGGTCGGTATTTAAAAAAATGTTACGGGGGAATCCGGCACAAGATTCAGTTTAAATAGAATCATGATCATCATCTGCTTACCGCAGTCTACTGCTGACATAGGCCTCTCCTAATGCGCCTCTCTCAGCTTGTCGCAAAGAGAATAAAATCAAATTTTTTTTTTTCAAATAAGTCAAAATCGCCAAATAGTTTGATTTCGGCCGCTATTACTTTCCTATTTACACGTGGGTAGAATTTCTTGTTGTATTATTGCACAAAGAAAAGATACTTAAAACACCTTACAAAGGACATAATATCCAAATGTGAGCTTATCTCTAGATCTCTTCCTGGCCACACTAGATAATACGTGAATACCCCATGGCACTTTCGTTTTTTTACTATTATTTCCTTTATGGCGGCCACTAAAAATATGTCAAGCACATATGTCATGTGACAATTAATTTATTTTTTGTAAACAGAAACTATTTTAAGTTTGATTAAGAACTTTTCGTTTATGTCCAAAATGACACATGTTATTGCAATTGTCGAACGATATGTATATCCACAGACTAATAGATGCTAATATCTAATCTGCTACCATCAATCTCATATTAGTTGAATATTAAATGAAACATAAATAATATTGTGAAAGCAATCGGGTAATTAAACATTGAAATGGCTGAAAAGGACACACAGTCCCAAGTAACTGCAGATTTACCCAAAACGGAACAAGGCGACACGTTAATATCGTTTTCGAGAAATACTGGCAGTGTACAATCCCACAGCATACAGTCCCACAGCGTTATATCCGCAGCATCAGGGACCGGAGATGGCCCTGTCAGTAAACAGCGTCTAAATGCGTTTAACTTCATGAGCAAGCGCCTCGCGCATCGCGTAATTGTCGACTACGTTGACGTCACTCCTGATAACCTTATAAATCCGGAGTACGTCACCATGGAAGACTATTTTAGCCACGCCGCATTCGACACTAAACGCCCTATAAAAAGTGAGCTCGCACTAAAATCGAGGTCTACAGTCTCCACAGTTGGCATGAAAGTATACGCCACCACTATCAACCTTGACGACATAATTATCGATCACACACACAATACGGAGGAGGACCACCCACAAGTCGAAATAGATGTAGAGGAAGCTCCGTCCGCCTATTACTTACCGAAAATGTTTGACGCAACGTCGTACCCACCAGAGTTGTTCATTGCTCTCAAAGAGACCGAAACGGTGTACTTGTACGATTTGCCTACTTATTGCTATGAAAAAGGAACTGCCGAAGGATCAGCTACGGAGGAAGATAATGAATATTACCTATACATAACTGTCGGCAAAGGGCGAAACAGAAAGATGGTAAATGAGGAAACGCAAACAAAATCGGTGATGTCGTCGACGAGGCATACACTGGCAACACGCCCCAAAAAAAGAAATCAAATATGTTTCGCGTCCATGTGGGATATGTTCGACACGTACGCACAGCTGAAGGAGGTAAAAGAGGAGGAAGAAGATGACGAGATGGTGCTCTATCAGGCTTTCCCCCCTCAAACTCTGCGCAAGAAGAGAGTACTCGCTATGAAGAGAACCCACAAAGCAAGTAAATCGTTTGAAGAATTAGGAACCTACCCACAGTTTTTTGATGCTGCCTTATTAATACAACGCGTGCTCGCCGCCAAAGACTATTCAAATGCACAGAAAGTGTTCCGCGGTCTAGTCAAAATGGACCCATTGGCGTCCGACTTAGTGTACATTTACACGATGAAGCCCTTGTGGACACTGGAATGTAGAGAAACACAGAATCGACCTATAATGAGTGTAGCTTTTAATCCTAAAAATCCAGATATTTTGGCCGTTGCTCACGGAAAATTTAATTACGCTGACAATACGGACGGTTTGGTTTGCATATGGTGCACCAAAAATCCCTGTGTACCAGAGCGCCTTTACCGATTTGGAACCCCGCTCACATCACTGGCATTTTCCACTAATAACGCCAATTGGTTAGCTTGTGGAAATGCGAACGGCGACGTGTTTATTTTGGATGTCACTTCCCACGTGACAAAAGTTATAGCGAAAAGCAAGCGCGACACGAACGCGAGCTTTGAACCCATTTGGGTGACCAGTTGGCGTCACACAGATAGTTTCCACGAGTTCGTTATGACTGCCGGGCAAGACGGTAGAATCAACAAGTTCACGAGCACGAAAACGCACGATTTTATTTGTACACCGATGATGAGAATATCAACAGTGGAGGGTAAGATGAAGGGGTTGGAGACGCCGAAGCAATGCGTAAAAGTGGACGTGCCAATCACTCGCAATCCGGCCGCTCTCTGTTTGAAATGGCACCCTTTCGTAAGTCATTGGTACCTGGTAGGCACGGACGAGGGTTGCGTGCACAAATGCTCTACTCACTACTTGAACCAACACATGGACGTATTTAAAGCACACGCGGGTCCGGTCTATAGTATGGAATACTCCTCATTCATGCCATCGCTGCTCGTGACGTGCGGTGCGGACAACGCGATTCGCATTTGGATCGAAGACTTGGACGAAGTGATCATGACCCTGAACTGTAACTCCGCGGTGTACGACATTGCCTGGTGTCCAATAAACGCGACTATTCTATTATCTGTAAACGGATTCTATTTATCAGTATGGGACTTGCGCAGAAAAACGCACGCGCCCTGCACCGAGTACTTGTTCCCAACAAATGTCACACTCACGTACGTAGAGTTTTCACAATCTGGTGAAAATATTTTTGTTGGTGACACGTTAGGGAGGATACACACTTTCCACTTGGAGGATACGCCCATACCGCCTTACTATCAATACCAAATGCTGGATGATGCTATCAAAAGAGCTCTTTGCACCCGACCACAGCTACTAAAGCAACTTGAAAAGCTTGAAAAGTTCAGGGCCAAGTACACTAAGTAATTTTTATTTTCATATTTACTTTTGAGCAATTTTTCATCACTGGAAATTAATATACTTGATGTTAGTTTTAGATTTATTTATTAATATTTAATCACATGAACTTTATAAATTAAACTACATTTCAACTACATTTAATCACAATATAAATACTATTAGAAACTGGTACAAAGCGTTTTTACATTTTTAACCATAAATAATTCGAATTTAAGGCAAGGTATTAAGCGTCGTATAAGTAAGTAGAAGTATACTACTTATCTGCCCTCCTTATCATAACTAACGTAATGAACACTTCGCGCGAAATGGGATCAGCGAAACAAGATCTACAACACCTCTAATTGGTTTTTTATATCTTAATAGGTTTCAGTTTTATTGTTAATCAAAATCAGCGTAATTGATATTTCTTTTAGGACAATAAAACTTTAGGTGACAATATCTCAAAAAGGTTAAATTAAAACTATTAAACGAGTAGGCAGCTGTACTTCAGATACTGTTCATTTGCATAATATATTTAAAGTTCGCAGTTCCATAAAATGGTAGTATGTACACACGCCAGCACATCAAGCTACACATTGACGTATCTTGTTCCGTTGCAATGGAGGCGATTTTCGAACAAGAATGTGTTGTCTGATATGCCGTTATCCGTATAATCAACCAACAAAATATAAAAAACAATCCGTTCTTATCGTAAGCGGCATAGAGTTGGATTTAAATCTTAACTGTCAAGCTTGTTCTTGACCCTGTACGTATACATACATATAATACATACATTAAATATGTAGACATTACACTATTATGTATTAAATATAGAAGTATATACCGTTGTAAGCCCTAGGTAAAGAGTCAAGAGCAAGTCAAGCTTGACAGTTAAGATTTAAATCCAACTCTATGCCGCTTACGATAAGAACGGTCCAAAGTACAAAGTGTCAAGCTTGACGTGCTCTTGACTGTACATGTATTAATTATTTTGTTAAATTTTTAATTATTGATTTTAATGCAAGATTAATGCATTCATATATGTTAGGCCTTTAAAGTCTTAAAAATGTATTAAAAGGATTTTAATTTTTCACCGATGAATTCCGTAAACGCTATTGGATAACGATATCGTATCCGAATTGGAATCGAGCATGTAACTCGAATGTTCTGAATAGCTTCGAAAGCGCCCTTCGATTCGAAAACGGTATCCAATCGAATGATTCGGTTAAAATATCGAAAACCCACGGCGCGACCGCGAAGCGGGCTACGGGCTTTGGGAAGCCTTAACAGAAACAGTATTATTTCGTTTCATTTAACTTTGTTTATGCATTTTTTTTCTTAGTATTTTACGTTCATTGTCAGTAATTATTTTACTGGATAACAAAAAGTTCTAAATGAATTTTAAGGATAAAATTGTGTAACGTCTGTTGTTATCCCAAATAAAATAAAATAATTTACCTAAATGCAAATGTGTTAGTTATGACAAGGACGGCAGTTATTATGAGATCCTTATTTTTATTCATAAGCAAATTCACTATGCGTACAATGTTGCTGTGTGAAAAATATCAGGCAATAAGAAGTCAATGAATTTTTACAATATCTTCTACAGTTGGCAGTTTACGCAGCGTCAGCAGTTCCTCCTGTAAAAGACAAATATTAATAGATAGCATCAGGAAAGATTAACGCATTTCACAAACCAGTAAATCAAATAAACATTCTTTACAAAATCGTATTGTCAACTTCAAATCCTCTATCGTTTTGTTCTGGACACAAGGAGGTGGATTTTTTGCAATGGTCGATTTCTTGTGCACATTGAAACCGGGTGGCCGGCCGGGGCGACGCGGGCCGGGACCGGGGCGATTGCGGGGCGGGTGCGGGCGCAAAGCTGTATTCCATTGAGTTCGGGTCAATTTATATTCCGGCGGAACTTAATGGAAGCGAATTCTTGTAATGTGCACAATATCGTATATATATATTGAGCCTTCTATGCAACTGTCCACACACAGGCAACCGGCGGGGCGGGACTTTAGCGGGATTGCAAGTTGTATTTTTTTTAAACTCGTGAGTGTGTCTTTATTAAGTTTCAGTATGAATACAACCGAAATTTTCTTTGCATTGCTTTTGTGACGCGAATAAAAACCGAATATTTTCATGACCATTATCCGACTATACAGATAAATCTATTTAGAAAATGAAATGTGGTTGCTTTTAAGCGTCACACCAGCCGCTTTCGCGCCGCTGTCCCGCCGCGAATTATGCGTCGGACTGTCGTGTGACAAGTCACGGTACGCATGCGTTTCCCGCAGGTCCGCCCTGGACCGCCGTTCCCGCTGTACCGCAACTGTGTGGCTTTAGACTATGGTCAAATATCTAAATTCATGTGCCAGCAATCAGAAGACGCAAAGAGAAATGCGCTCCGATACTCCGAGATCAGACCCTCAGTATTGAAATATACACAAAAAATCTTTTATTTTATTTTTTTATAATATCAAGTGACGGGACGAATAAGTTGTGCGCCTGGTGTTAAGCGACATGCCTATCCATAACAGTTGCAGTGCCACTCAGCTTTTAATCGCAAAGATCTTAGGGGCAATGCCACTGCGCCCGTCACCCAGGGACATAACTCATGTGCATGTAATTTCACCAGCACCCTTACCCTTCCAAATCGGAACGCAATAATGTTCACATTACTGCTTGGCGGCAGAAATAGGTAAGGTGACAGTACTGGACGAATTCTTTCACAAGAAGCTCTACTGCTACTTAACAAGGTGCTCTACTGCTACTGGAAAACTTGTTACGTAATATACATAAGAGTAAACTGAGCCACAAATAAAATTTTAAGTTTGGGTTTCATTATTTCTGGTTTGTGGCAATATAACGGATTTAATTAATAAATGGAAATAATAATTGGCCAAGATTCATACACCGAGGATGCATCGTTCCGTGTCACATAATGACTTGCATAATTAGGTTTCGTATGTACAGGGAAGACTGGGAAACTAACAGTCTCGCCTGGAAGGACGGTAGCGTTCTTTGGAATACCGATGGGTACAAGATGGGACCCAACGTAGGCTGTGGCATACATGGCGTGAGATCCAGACTCAGCTACAAGCTGAACACGCGACGACAGTCCTCTATCTTTCAGGCCGGAATATACGCCATAATTGCTTGTGCGTAGGTACACGGAAAAAGTCTCGATATTTTTTGGTATCGAGTACTTTTCCTTCCGATACCGATACTCTTGTACTCGACACTTTTCATTCGATACTTTTCAGGTATTAGTACTTTTTGGCAAGTGTCGTATCGTTTTGAATAATTCCTACTTAGGACACCTCATGTCGTAACGCAAGCCATCTTGCAATTTTTTTTATGGCAACCTTCATCACAAATGACTTGGCTGTATAGTGTATACTACCATTTGCCTCTTTATAAGAATGAGAATGAAGAAAAATAATTAAAAACATTTGAATTAGGTATCATACCTGACAAACATTATATTTGAGACCTCGCAATTCCGGCGAAGTTTCTTACTTTTCAGAACGTTTGTTCTCAAAAGCAGGCAATACAATATCAAAAACGAGAAACAAACTGTTACCAACATTGACTTACAAATAAATGAACGACGGGTCTAATACAAAAACCACAAAAAAAATGTCCCAAGTCAACCTATTTAAACATGTAAAGGAATATGAAAAAGCTAAAACGTTGAATTCAAATTGTAATGTCATCGCAGTACTGTCTAATTTTGCTTGCTTCGCTGTCAGAAGAAACAAACGAAGACTAAAGCGTGAATGACGCTCTGTATACGATTTTAACGCCCTATAAGTTCGGACACTTTTTTGTTTAACAAATAGATTTTTGTTTTTAAGTGATTGTAAGTGACAGAGAAGGAGTGGGAAATTTAACTAACACAAATTATGTGAAATGACGATTGATTGAATTATCAATTTGTAATGAAAGTCTTTTATTATTTGTTTCAATTAAAAATCATAAATCAAATAAAAGACTTATTTTATTATGCAGGACAATTTGTTTCGATACTTTTATGAGTACAATACTTTTTATGCGATACCATTCATGAGTACAGTATCGATACATTTGATTCGACACCGTGTCCCTACTTGTGCGTATCTGAACCTGAAAAGAGGCTACGGCAACAAGTATATTTACATAAACTCATATAGAAAATGAAACTATTTTTCCGGATTTAAATCGCGTATATTCCTTTTTTTTTTTAAACAAAAACAATTACTGCCAAATAAGTAAAACTTGACCAAATGAAAAGACGCGTGATGCGAATGAAGCTTTATACTTGACACTTGTCTTTTAATTTTTTTCGAATATTATTTATTTGACAGTAATTGTTTCGGACGGATGACGGACGGAGATCGAGAGTAGACCCCCTGTAAAGGGTCCGAAACGTTGGTTTGTTTGAAAAAACAAATAGACGCAATTTAAATCTGGAAAAATGGTTTCATTTCCTATGTGTAACAATCGCGAAACTTCTTAAACTCTATAAACTCATATAGTCAAGCCACTCTACATGCACTATCCTCAGTCTCCCAAACTTCGAGGATTGTAGAGAACTGTGTAACTATACTGAAGACTCTCGGGGAAAGGAATGATGTGGTCCTGCGTTGGGTTCCAGTAATGAGTGAGTCCTGAGCCCTTTATAGGGATAGCACACAGCCAGGTAAAGTCACTCTTCTGAACAAGAGCACACAGGAGACGTGTGGCTGCAGACTAAAGGTTTTGAGCATTTAAAAGCCCTGATAGCTGCTTACAGTGCCAAACACTGTAGGGAAGCTCTGTCACTTGACAGGAATGGCATCAGAATGCTGACTAGAGCCTTAACAGGGGATTGTGGCTTGAACAAGCACATGTCAAATATTGGGCAGAGAATGTAGATTCTGCCACGAGGCGGATGAAACACCTGTGCATCTCCTTACCCAGTGCTACCCTCTAATGGGCGTACGAAGCTCCATACTGGGTAGGCATAGGCCACACCCAGAGGACATAAAAACTGTCGGAGCCAGGAAAGTCCTTCAGTTCTTTAATGCTGCTGGCCTTGGCTCCGAACTGTAATTAGTGGTGATCATAATAGATCAGCCGAATGAAGCCACCCTAATAATAATAATAATCGTATGTACATAGACATATGAATTGGCGGAATATTTGACCTCGACTTCAAGTAAGTAATTGCTTATTGAACAAAAAACATCCACACGCACACAAGCGAGAGCCCAAATTCAAATTATAAAATTGACCAAAAAATCCAACGGAGTTCAAAAAATCAATTATGAAACCTGATTTTCCATAATTGACAAAAACGTGCTTGATCCTGATGTGTGGTGTGCATTATTCCGGGATTCTGGTGGAGGTATTAGCCAATCAATGTATATTATTTCTTTGAAGTATAGGTAAATATAGTCTGCCTATTTCGATCTCTAATCATAAATCATTGTTTTTATGTTATTAAAATCGGCAAAAAGTCTCACGGTCCACCTGGTGGCAGATTGCGGAAATAATTAGCAATAAACAAAAAATATCGGTGCCTCAATTTGTTTACTCCCAGTATATTAAAAAAATACTAGTAATACTTTTAGTGATTTGTTGTAGAGTCAAACTTCATATTTTATAATAATCTATTTCATAGACAAGCAAGTTAATTTTCAAAAATTGTTTGTGAGACTGACTCTGTATATCGTCTGTTTAAAAGTAAAACCACATAAGTGACATTTTCCACAAAAAGTTTTTAATTTATATAGCTATGATAAGAATATATACTACTAATAATATCTTATATATACTATACTATCTTATATATACTACTGTATATACAATGCTATCTTTCTGCACGTGGAACTCAATAACGAAACAGCTATAAACTTAATAAGAATTTTGTCTGCAGAAATTTGCAGAAGATTTTTTGTGGAAAATGTCACTTATGTGGTATTACCTTTAAGCAGACTATATAGTTATATCGCTTTACTTGGATATTTGTGATGGGAAACGAAGCTTCCAAAAAACCCGATATCGGGCAGTAAGTGGGATAGCAGCTGGGAATGTTTGCTCAGAAGAAGCAGGCTAATACAAGCCCCGATCCCTTGGGTCTCGCAGAGTTGAGCGTTGTGCAACGCAAGTGGCCGTGAGTGCCACGAGTTAACGGTGTGTTCGTTACCAAGATCAAGATGAATCATATGAGCCCAAACACAAGGTAGTGCTAGACCATATTGATGAATGTTCTCATCTGTCAGCCATTTCTATTATCAAATCAGCTCTAGGTCACCACAACATTTTATCTTCATTAGAATGACATCTATGTGCCAAGTTTTATTGAAAACGGTTGTCAAAATTGTTCAATCAGAAGGAATAGAGATCGTTAGTGATTTACGGGAATATTTAAGAATAGTCGAAAAGGTTCAATGAGTACGATAGAAATTGGAAATCCAGGAATAGTTATCAAAGTTGATAAATTACCTATTAAGATCGATAAATTATCAATCAATACAATCACAAAGAAAGACAGAAAGAAATTCCAGTTTTTTTTGTGTTGTTCATATTTTATAGGTACTATATCAAAGACGCAATTTTTGTCTTTGACAGTATGTGTAGTATTGGTGAGGTAATAATGTGGGATAATTAGAGTAATTTGAAATGTGGTGTTGAAGGTGAATGGGGAAAATAAATTGGATCGAGAAAATATGGAATGAAGAAAGTTTAAACAGACATATTTGGACATCTGTCTGTCATCATCGAAGGTACGATAGAACCAAAAAAAGCGAGGAAGACCAAGAATCTCGATCGATCTGTCCGATCATGTGTTCTTATGGTACCACAACATAGAACTGCAGCTATTCGAGGTAGTTTCAAATACTCGGCCTCAAAGTGCTGGAATAATATTCCACCACATACGCAAGGAGACATCCAAACCCAAATTCAAAGCACTGTACCGACAACACCTACTCTCACTTCAAAAATCTGTGTAGTGTGTTTTTATTCTTTAACGTAGTCTGTCTAGAATCGAATTTTGTTGTTGCTTTGATATATTCTTATTATGTGTATAATTATATTATAATACTAATTACATTACACAACATTAAATCCTCTTTACAGTCATAACTTACACCTACAGCTGTAATATATTCACATTTGCTCATGCACTTACATGTCAAACAGGTTATTTTAGATGCACTTTAATTTCTATATTATTATTGTCAATGTATAACTTTACTCATAGTCGTTATATTTTTGCTTTCAAATAATTTAATCCCTCTCGTTGGTTCTGACTGAAAACCAGCGCCTTAGGAAACTTTGGCATATGCTGAGTCAGCGCCGTTTCACTGCTATGACAATCATGTTTTGTTTTTTCTTTTATGCTTAATCTGTATTTGTGTTATATCAGTGAATAAAGCGTTTATCTATCTATCTATCTATCTTTAAGTCGCAAAGATCTGAGGGGCACTGCCACTGCGCCTGTCACCCTGAGACATAAGTTGACATATCCCATGTGCCTGTAACTTCACCAGCACCCTTACCCTTCGAAACCGGAACTTGATATTATACAAAAAAACAATCCATAAACACCAACCTGAATATACTCAATAGCAGAATATCTTATCCACTGATGAACTTCAGCCTGTCTGGAATCAGGGAGTGCTGGTAGAGCGCTGATTTCCTGGCTTAGGCCGTATATCTTCTCAGCGAAGACCTTGATTCGCCGGCAGATCTGCTGCATGTCTGCTGGATATATTTCTGCCCCATCCGCGAAACATTTGCACATCTGGAATTTAAAGAATTATTTCTTCAAACAAACTGTATATACACTTTTTTAAGGTTAATATAATATAATGTTTAACATAGTCTCTCTTGTCCCTCCATTATCTACTTGATCTGTTGTACTACACGCGAGGTGGTTGCCTATAAACCTATCATACAGGCTAGACCTAGTTTAGGCTCCAGTCTCCTACAAATGTAACTTTTTTTAATCCTAAGTACCTTATTTTTAATATGCGTCCTGCAGTTTTGTGAGAATAAAAATAAATAATTTTGTATTTGTATTTGTACTTGTATTAAATAAATAAATAATAATGATAATAGGTATTATCGTAAATTACTTTATTTTGAGAAAAGTTACATTGCACATATTTCAAAGAATGTTATCAGTTATCACTAAACCACCTGTTAATGTTTGTGGAGAGAAATAGATACGTAATTATTATTATTCTAACCTACTTTCACCTTGTTCAACGTTTTAGAGAAGAGCTTTTGTCTTTCTAAGTTCCTACCTTTCCAGAAACAGACTGTTAATTAAATGATGGAGATGCAGTATTTTCGTGCATTTTTTACCGACTTAAAAAAGGAGGAGGTTCCCAATTCGACTGCTTTTTTGCGTGTATGTTACGCGATTGCGAACCTCAGTAGGTCCTATTCAAATTTGAAAAAAAAAATATTCCACCCTTAGGGGTGGCAAATTAGGGGATGAATCCGGTTTATTGGATTTCACCCACTGTTCGTTAATCGACAAACTTTTGAGGTTGGGTTTTTTTTTAATTAAACATGTCAATTGAATAAGACACATTTTCAACATGACACAGTTTTAATTGTACTCATCAGTACCATTCAATACAAAATTGTGATTGCCGTAGCTATTTTTCTTATAAATTTATTTATTTATTTCTATGCAGTTTGTTGGCGACATGACAAAGTCCACTTACTTAATTATATCTACTTTATGCTTTATTAAAATACAAAATATATTTAGTTTTAATATTTTTCTAACAAAAATCGTCTTTAATATTATCTAAGATATCTATTTTCATTTTCAATTTATGTAAAAAATATATATTTATTATCAAAGTAAATTGCTAACTGCCTCCGTGGTCGGCCGGGAGAAATATTTATATGACCTACATTTATTTCTCTCATGAGTTTGGGTATAATTTATAGTTGGCTATTTATAGTGTGTCAAAGTAAAATAATCCGATTATTCCCACTAGTTCTGTTGACAGAACCACTGGTACTTGTCTTGACCATTAGTATGGGATTTACGATTCCCAGTAGTTCTGTCGGTTCTGTCAGATTATTCCCACTAGTTCTGTAAATAATCTTCATTTAATAGGTAAGCAAATCAGTCTTGAAATTTAAACTCTACTGCGCATTCGTAAGGCAGATCTGAGAAGAATGAGCAAGAAACTCTAGGGTTGCTCTTTGTAAATCATTTGAATATTATAGAGGTAGTCAGGATATGTCACCGCAATGATATGCAATTATTTTTTGTGAAATTACTCCGCTAGTTTCTTACATATGGATACAAAGATCAAACACTTAGAAACAAACAATTTTTCTGTCTTTTGTTTTCTTTCTTTCTTCTTATCCTTGTGGAAGTCGCAAACGTTCATATTTTTCAAGGCAGAACTTAATGTTACAACCAACGATGTTATAATAATAGGTCTGCCTCTCGATTCTCACGGCAAAAACATGATGTCATTGAAAATCGTTCGACTGTATAAAGCACCAACGGAAGTGTTATTTAAATTTAGTATTTTCGGCGAATTTTCTGCTTAAACCGGATTTAGATCTTATTAAGTTTTTATGACTGATGACGCAGCCTACTATTAACAGTTTGCCTTACTTTAAGGTATAAGGGTCGGAGATGGATGCGGCGCATTCCTGTTTTGCAGCTTTGTTCTGTTTTTTTTATTAAAATGTGCGCATAGATAGTAGATGATTATAAACTCTTATAAGTTTTAAGAAGTCTTTATTATAGTACTATGAGAGCGTTTGCGCACTTACGTCCGATTCGCATCAGGGGGTCTAATCCCGTACTCCGTCCGAAACAATTACTGTGAAATAGACATGAGCGCCGATAATAGACGGACCAGCGGCGGCGGCGCGGCGGCGCGCCGACAAAAAAGTTTCGGCGGCGCGAGCGCGACCATAAAACGAATTTGTATATCGGTGTTTGTTTTTACAAAAACTGTTGTACAAATACTTTTTCAAAGGAAAAAATAAGATAACGTATTTTCTATAGTAATCAATTTTTTATCAGTTCGATCAGGTGCTCCGATCGTAAGCACGCACACGCTTCCATATTGTGTATGCGTAGTGAAAATGGCGACGCCAGAAATTGACAAATTAATTTTTTAAACAAAAGATCTTTAAATATAAAGTCACTAACTAACTTTTGTCGCCTATCTATGTCACCTCTGCTGAGGCCGGACGGCACGCTGGCCTGTACTGCAGTGACAAGGCAAATCTTTTTGCCTCACTCTTTGCAAAGAGTTCGCGTTTGGATCTAATCTTACCTCAGGCTGGCTGCACTATGGCGCCAATTCGCATATACGCCAAAAAGAGGTACTTAGAACTGTGCGGAATCTAGACGTGAATAAAGCTAGCGGGCCAGATGGGGTTCCAGCACCAGTCCTACGTAACTGTGCGCCTGAGTTGTCTCCTGTTCTCACACGCCTACGCCTGTACCGCCTCTCACTTGAGACTGGTGTAGTTCCCAGGTCGTCGAAGCTTGCAAACGTGCAACTTATGCCGAAAAAGGGAAGCAGACCTGACTCTGTCAACTCTATCTCAGTCACTTCCATACTGTGCAAGACTATTTAACGTGTACTCAACAACCGTCTCTTGTCGTACCTTGAAGACAACGACCTCCTCAGTGATCGCCAGCGTATTCCGACGAGGGCGATCTACTGGGGATCTTCTTGTGTATGCCTGTCTCATATGGAGCGAGGCTATATTGGCTATATAGGCGATTCCAAATTTAACGTTACCAAAACGCAGGCGTGTTTATTCTTCACAAAACGGAGTCCCTTTGAGCTGACTCTGATTTTTCGTGATATACCTATCCCTACCGATAGCCGACTGTCTTCATCTATTTGGAATGGAGCTGTCGTCCAATTTGTACTTCGGCAGATACATTGAATCCATGGCCAAACGTGCAGCAAGGAAGCTTGGGATCCTTTCCAGGGCGAGGCGTTACTTCATACCGGGACAAGCACCATATCTTTCTACGTTAGTTTTGATTATAGTGACCCTCCGTACCTACCCTTACCCTATACGAGAAGGACACCATAACCTGTGTGCGCGAACCTTACAAGTTCAGGTTCTGACCCCAGATCAGCCAGTAGTTCTCACAGGCCTCTGTCACTTGACTTCGAGAGGCTAGTGCCTCGGGTGAGCCGCCCCGGGTGCACGTACAGTATCCTCCCTATTTTTCAGACAGGTACTGGAGCTGTAGGCACGCTCACTTCCCGTTGCGCATTGCACAATTAGCAGTTGCCACCGCTAAGCCGTCGACTCTGAGTCCACTACCAAATCTCCTCATTGGTGGTGGATCTGTAAGGCACGCTCACTTCCCGACGCCGAAAAACGACTTCTCTCCAGTTCCCAATAACCTAAGCGGCTGAAGGGACCGGAGGATATCTAGTTTATCCTCTACTAGCTCTCCGGGCTAGTGCCGGAGATGCCAGTCGCAGTGTCCTGCGACAATGTCCGGACATAGCTTTCAATTTAAAGGGCAACTCACGTGTCCCGCGCGTCTCCTCTCATACAGGCCCTCAACTAGACCGCTAGTAAGACGCGCTATCTGCTCACGAGACAGACGCCCCGGACACACGCAAAACCCTAACAAGCCGTGACCAGTTTCACGGTAGTAAAGCAGAAAACTCCCAGTCTACAAATTTATTTAAAGTCGGGTTAAGAAGAAATGGTTACAAAGTAGTAAGGAGTAAGGCTGTAATAATAAAAAGGTATATATAGAAAAACAGGTACATTACTATAAAACACTTACCAACTTGATGGATATAAAGAGTTATTTAAGTAGACACTTACCCCTAAAAAGGGCCGAGTTATACTGAATTACAGATACGTATTCATAGGTACATGATAAGGCTGTAGACTGTTATACACTTATTAAGATTGATACATGATTTAGATTATATTATAATGATTATGACTAAGTAAAAGAATCAAAATTAGACGCGATTGCATTTAAATAGCTTCGTCCGCTGTCGCGATCGAGCAGGGAGTGACGATGGAGCGAAACAAAATCAAAATGTGAGGCAAAAGAATGGAACAATTCAAAATTTAAATTTAAATACGAGTGGCCAGGAACCGGAGAAAGGCGACAAAAAGGTGGGACGACGATGCAAGGAGGTCACACCGTCACACCCCGGACACTCTATACAACGTCTGAAAGTTATTTAGCTACTACTACTACGGCTCACCGCCAGCCTTGTTGCCGTTCAATCAATGTGACCGTCTATGTGGGGGGCGTGGTGAGGTATCTAAATCTAGGGAGAAGCGGAGAGTGTCATCTGACTTATTTGTTCTCTGATGAGGGTCCGAAATGTCACAGGGATTTCGGATTTTATCTCTAAGTGTACAAGCGATAATTATAAGTATTTTCTCATATTCGAATCGGGCTTAGTGCACAAGCGACATCCGAAGTGGGTCTGAGATTGTACAGTCTCGGATTCGGAGGTCTACTCTCGATTTCCGTCCGACATCCGTCCGAAACAATTACTGTCAAATAAGTAATATTCGACAAAATTAAAAGAAAAATGTCAAGTATGAAGCTTCATTCGCATCACGCGTCTTTTCATTTGGTCAAGTATTGCTTATTTGGCAGTAATTGTTTCGGACGGAGATCGAGAGTAGACCCCTCGGAACGAATACGAATCGGATGCGGTGCGCAAGCGCGCTTAGGCTCAATTTATATTGCCGCAGTAGAAAATTGAGGCGAATTATTCAATCATTAACTTTATAGCAATTTTGTAACATACAACTAGATACGACGCGTCTTCCGGAGAATTCTCGAGCTGTCCAGGGGACTCCCGTAGCTACCGTATCGTATCTAGTTTGTACCTTACACAATTGACATAAAGTCCATTATATAATATTTATTAAACATGATGTTTTTACTTCAATGATATTCAGTTTATTTTTTGTTAAACTACTCCATTACTGTGTTGTTATTACGATATAAAAGGTCGTTCAAACACAAAGAAAAATTCGCTCCCACTGGACTATTATAGAACCAACTACTATTTGCCAAACCGGGGCTACTACTATTTTTTTTTTTAATAACAAACGACGGGTCGAACAAGTCGTGCGCCTGGTGATAAGCGACACGTTCATCCATAACTTTTGTTTGTCACTTAAAGCTCTGAGTGGCACTGTAACCGTTATGGATAGGTGTGTCGCTTATCGTCAGGCCCACAACTTGTTCGTCTCCCGTTCGTCACTTGGTATTATAAAAAAAGCAAAGTCAAATTCAGAATGATATTATCATTTATAAAATTACTGGTGAAATTACAGGCACATGGGACTTGTCAACTTATGTCTCAGGATGACGGGCGCAGTGGCATTGCCCCTCAGATCTCTGCGATTTAAAGCTCTGAGTGGCACTGCAACCGTTATAGATAAGCGTGTAGCCTTAACATTGGGCGCACGAATTGTTCGTCCTGTCATTATATATTACAAACAAAAAATATTCCATAGATAAAATTTTTACACTTGAAAACGTCATTTTTTAAGCTACTGCTCGTTCACTACGCTGACTTCCCTGTGAAGAACGAGCAAGAAACTCTAGGGATATCACTTTTTAAATAACCTTAAATGCTATGGAATACACTTTGAATCATAATTGTGTGGAATCGAGACTCATGTTATCTTTCCATACATCTTTATCTAACACATACTCTTCAATTTTGTAATAAATTTTCAATGAAAATACTTTTAAAGTAAGTTTTAAACTTGCGAAATGATAATCTTAATACATGCTCCGGAATCTTATTGTAAAAACGTGTACATTTCCCTGAAAAAGAATCGTTTACCTTAGTAAGGTGGTTAAACGAAATCGTGGTACCATGCGTGGCACTGCAAAGTTATGGGTAGGCGTTTACCACCGGGCGCTCGACTAATTCATCCCAGGCTATCAAAAATATACTAAAATATATATCAAATAAATACTTACCATTTCATAAGTTTCAACAGCTTCAGAAGCCTCAATCTTTAACTTCATCAATTTTTCATACAAACTAACCAACTGCACGTTTTTGTCCGAATCCCCGAGAGCACATTTGCGAATTTGAACTTCAACAGTCTCATAACAATTTTGGCATAGTCGAATGTCAGATTTGGCGCCTCTTACATTGTTATATTGAATCGATATAGTTGGTATGTGAATCATATCTTCGTACTGTTCCGTATGCTCTGAACTTGTGGGTTTTCTTATGGATCCTGTAATATGTGTATAAGTTTTTTTAGTATAAGAATATTCTAGAGTTCCTTGTGAAAGAATTTGTCCAGGTTTCCCTGGACAAACTGCCACTATAAGTATTTCAGCCGCAAAGCAGTAGTGTGAGCATTTCTGCTTTTCGGTATTGAAGGGTGCTGGTGAAAATATAGGCACATGGGATTTTTAAAATTCATGTGCCAGGTCGTAATCGTAAATCTTTGAGGCGGCACTGCAACTGTTACAGACAGGCGTGACGCTTGCCACCAGGTGCTCGGCTTGTACTTTTTAACGGGACGACCAAGTCATGAGCCTGATAGTAAGCGCCACGCCTGTCCATAACAGTTGCAGTGGTACTCAGCGATTTAAATTGCAAAGATCTGAGGGGCACTGCCATTGCGCCCGTAACCCTGAGACATAAGTTGATAAGTTCCATATGCCTGTAATTTTACTAGCACCCTTACCCTTCAAAACCAGAACACTGTAATGCCGACATTACTGCTTGGCGGCAGAAATAGGTAAGGTGGCAGTACTTCCCTGGACGAACTCCGTCACAAGAAGCGCTACTGTTACTAAAAGTCGGGTCCAACTGGATCGAAGAAATTTTTCTTTATGTTCGATCTTGCTTAAATATAACCTTTAAAAGTAATTAAACGTTCTATATGAAACTTACTAGCAATGTGGATGTCCAAAAATTTAGAGCAGTTTTTACAGATAACTCCTGCGCACACTTTGCAGCTGTGCTTTTTCCCGAGACAAAATTCTCCACGGCAGTTGGGGCACACTTCATGTTCGGTTGCGGTCTGAAAAAAGATATTCTAGTTCTTCATTTGCTTACCCGTTTACAAGACACCCTTTATCAAACCGTGCGAAAGTTTACGAGCTGAGTTAAAACCTCCTTTGAATTCTGAAGACTTAATTTAGTATCTCACCCTTTCTGATCTACGTGACCAAACCTGGCTAAGGCCCTACCCTCGTAGTACGGAATTCATAGTCACTTTTGGACTACTTTTGAAGTTCGTCGACAAAAAAAGGGGCCCTATCGAAACTGCCAAATGGCCGGCTCGAAACTATCAAATCGCGTTGTCATAAATTCTTAGTTCTAGTCCCGATCAAAACTCAGGTACATACTTGACCTACATAGGTCATCCATAATGGGAAAACAGCCTTAACTACGGATTTCGTGCTTCGAGAGTAAGACACCTGGTTGGCAAGAAACCAAATTGAAAATTTGCCCAAGAACAATAGGGCGAAAGATTCTGGATTTGAGTATATACTAAGGATTCTCTCAAAAACCGTTGACAAAAAATGCAGAAATGCTGTAATAACGAACGAAGAACAATGGACACAAAACAAACAACCAGGGAACCAGAAAATGGGGAGCGAAAACAAAACAGAAAAATATGGAATAATAACGAGTTCTTAGGTTTTCGCGATTGTTACCCATAGGAAATGAAACTATTTTTCCGGATTTAAATCGCGTATGTTTGTTTTTTCAAACAAACCGACGTTTCGGGCCCTTGACAGGTCCCATCGTCACGGTTGCCCTAAGATTTTTTGTGAAATATAATAACTCCACTAGTTTTATTATGATTTTATTAATACAAAGATCGCACAAATTGAATATTTTTTACTTTTTCAAAAATCTCTCACTAGATGTCACTAGCGGCGACGAATGCCGAAAGCTAGTAGGTACAAAGATCTATAACAAAAACACATAGGAGATTTCGACAGCTTGGTAACTTGACCTGTGGCTCAGTTGGTAAGATTAATGGTACGGTGTAGCATGGTCGTGGGTTCAAATCCCACCGGATCGAACAAAATTTCTCTGTTTCATCTTTGTACCAATAATCGTAATAAATTATAAATAAAGAATTAAAATATATATAAATAAAGAATTAGCAACGTTATTTTAGTGACACAGAAAAGTGGGGACAATAAAGAAGGCACCACTACCCGTAAGTCGTTGACGTTAGATAAGAAAAAATCCTACTGACTACGGGAACGCTGATATCCAATCTCAATAGCAGGGTCAAAACGTTAGGAGTCCAAAAGTAATTGGTTGATCTTTACAAAAATGTATACTTAATCCAAAACTTGAATGTTTGGTACACAAAATTACCTCCTTAATTGCCTAATTTTGTTTTTATACGAATAAATTACCTTTAACAATAGGTACGTTATTAACACTACTGAGAACAAGACTTGAACCAATTATTAATTTAAACAATTGCGTGGCTTTATTTTTTACCTGCACCTAGAGGAACAAAAATTCTAAAGTTGTATTTTCCCTGAGTAGACGTGATCTCACACAAATTCCTATTAATATCTAGTTAGTTTTACCTTCTTTGAATAGGGAATATGTGTATTATGGGAAACTGAATATGCTTGTGTGGTTATGGTCGCATTATAATCAATTTCGTTTATGACGAAAATAACCGGTTAACATGAATTTTATACCGGTGAGATAGTTGAACGATAACCTTTGTTAATACGGGGAGTCATCAGAGTCATCACACTTATCGACACAGGCATAGCGACTGACGCAGGCGCAGGCAGACGCGACAGGCTTGAGTCGGTCAGAAAAAGCTTCAAGTCCATCCAATAAAAGTGAAAAAGACATTGTGCGTTCCGTTTTGGTTCAAATTGCCGAAACGAACAATATTTTTTTCGCTATTATTGTTTCGACGTATACTTTGTACTTTTTTATACCGGCTTACCGTAAGGGTGCGTACAAATCTGTGCGTATTCGCCGCAAATGCGCCTATTTGCGAAAGGCTCGCGCGCTGCGCACGTGCATTAATTGCATTACGTAGTGCGATCTGTTCGCGTGCCATTCGCGCGACGCTCGCGCGCCACATAGGTATGTATTTAAACTGCACGCATGCAGCACGCGCGCAGCACATAAGCAGCGAGTTCGCGGCGCATTTGCCAGATCTATACGCAGCCTAAGGTGCATGAGAGGAGCCTCCCTGAGCGACGTTTTGTCCCCCATATGCATTAACGTCTGGCGCACCCCGGTAACGACTAGCGCTCGGTAACGCAAAGTCTAGCCGGCCAATCCTCTCACCACAATGCTAAAACCAAAAGACAGATCACAATTTGGCCGATGTAGAGATAATGTGGTGAAATGGGGATGTATCAACTCGACAGAAAATCATTGTTCTTGCGAATCCTCCACACAAAGAATGTCTCACTTGCTAACTTGCTGTCATGTCCAGCTGCACCCGCGAATGCCTCCTAAAGTCAGCCAGATAGGAGATAGTCCAAATCTCAGAATTTGTAACACAAAGTATTAAATAATCGAATATAATGGACAAAGATAAATGATTACCTTCTTACGTTCCTCTTTAAACTTCATTATTCCATTCATTTTCTTCAATACCTTCTTAGTACACAAGTCATCAAGCCTCGTCATAAGCCTGTCTGTCTCTTTCCCGTGTTTTTCAAGTACCTGATTGTTAATGCTCTTGAACTCTACTTTATAAGTTCTCGTTAACCCTATAGTTTGTTCTTCGTAAGGCAGTTTAACCGACGGGTCATTCTCAAATTTAATTCCTGAATCTCTCTTTTTTATATCAGTTTCTGTCTTTTTTGTTCCAGTAGATTTCTTCTTCCTGGGAAATACTTTTTTCATGTATCTAATAATGTTCTGAGGTATGGAAATTTCGGAAGCATTATCAGATGCGCTGTCCTCGTTGCCGTTTTGTAGAGCGTCCCACTGTACTTCTATACTCTCAAGAAACTCCCAGTCTACGTCACTGTCAGCGTCTTCAATGTGAAATAAATCACTTTTGTTACTTTTAAGACGTTTATTTTCAGGTACCTCTAGTTTATCTTTGTTATTTGGATTGCGTTTCTTATATCCATTATCATTTATTCTGGATGAACTTGCGTTGTTGAAGCTATATTTTAAAAGAAATGGTATTTTCAAAAAGAAGGCTTTGTTTTTAAATAAACTACCCACGCACCTTTGGTGTAATAAGGTCAAATCAATAAAATGACAACTTTTCACAAGTTTATATTTTTATTTCCATATTGCGCATGTACATACTACATTAAAAAGGTCTTTTATAATAAAAATTAATTATTATAGGCGATTAGACATCAAGTTGCGGACACCAGCTCGTCATACTAGTTTAGTGAAATTACAGTCACATGAGACTTGTCAACTTACGTCTCAAAGTGACAGGGTGCAGTGGCAGTACCTCCTCAGATATTTTCGATTTAAAGCTCTTAGTGACACTGCAACGTTATGGACAGGTGTGTAGTTTATCATCAGGCGCACGACTTGTTCGTCCCGTCACTTGATATTAACAAAAAATTTGGCTCCTTTGATGTGCGGCGAGAAACCGACCAACGCGCGGTCGATGTTGCTGTATTTGTCGAATATGCTGTTGGTTCAACTGCGTAGTCCAACTAGTTGACTACGCATTATATCTTGCAATTTTTTTTATGTACTGTCAGAGGGATCATCCTAGAGAACAATTGTAGTTAGCTCAGAACCAGTAACATTATTAATATTGACGCTGACTGGACTAACCGATCAGTAGGTCCAATGCCCATACAATATTGCTCGTAGTCCAACTAGTTGGACTACGCAGTTGGACCACGGGCCACGGGCAATAAACGGAATAGGCAAACAAGGCAAATACTTTGCTGTCTACACATGGTGATTGTTGGCCAAATATATCACATCCGCAAAAGACAAATAGCCATTTCCACCATCACATATACATCGTCTGTTTCAAGTAGCTCGTATTACTTTTATGTCTTTCATATGATAAAAGCTTTTGATATACGATCAAATGTGATCTTATTACACCAAGGGCACGTTTTGGAGATAATAGTAACTTACTGTTTCCATTTTTATATTTTCCAGTGTTTAAGCAAGGATCTTCTTTCACAAGAATTTATTACACCACCTTTATCTTACGGTTAGTTTGATATCTAGTATCTTATATACTGGTTAAAAGTGAGAAGTTAAATAACAGTTGTATGTGTTGTTTGTTAAAAAAAGTAAACAACAAATAGATTATTAAAAGATTAAAAACTCCAAATTACCTATAAGCTTCGCCATCCTGATTTGTATAAAGACGCTTGCTACAATTCAATGGCATCTCCACAAGTTCGTTACTGGGAAAGGCACAAGGACACAAAAATATCTTCATAAAACTCATATTAATAACTTGTTTGTGGAAACGCGCTGTCCTCGCGGGCGGACGCCGCGGTACTGAGACCACTCGCGGCTTTTTATAAATTGCCCGCCGGCAACTAGTCCAGGGTGTAAAACAAGTCATTCACATTTTTTTTTATTTGTCATAAGTACAACATAAAATAGGCGCCTTGTCGTCGAGTTGCGGATACCAGCCCGTTGCATCAAGTATTATATAAATTATTTTAAGTTTACTTTTCCTATTAATGCAAAAACTCCAAAAGGCAGCAATTAAAATTTGAACTACTGCAATTCTAGTACAAGTTTAATTTTACGTCTGGTAACATGTTTTCCTGTTTTTAATTTTCAAACGTGTAAGATCAATAGTAATTTATTAATTTGCTTACAGTAATACCTCGGCTACAAATGCGTCGCGTACGACTTTTTTAACACACTATATAAATAGTGTTAAGGAAAACGAACTAAAAATTCAAAATTGAGCTCAGTCTATAACGCAACCGATTTATGAAGCTTCATATTTGTGTTATGATTACTATTGCAAATATGTGTTTGCACTTTAGTCGGTTGTATAAATATGGCAATTTGTAAAAAGCAAATTCTGGGAAGTACAACTTCCAATTAGTATCAGCACACAAGTATTTCTAAATATTTATCTTTCTTCAGGCAAACAGATAACTTTTAGTTCTAGAGTTTCTTGTTAATGTTTCGTACTAAAATCGAAAGTTGCTTTTAGATGATTTTCTACAAAACTGTTAGACATGCAACGTTGCAACTTGGCACAAATATAGAAATGGGGGGGCAATCATAGGCGTGAGTGTTGAGTATACAAAATTTTAATAAAAATGGAAGTAAATTAATTTCCTACTCCGCGAATTCGCTGCGCTTGAGTTGAATATTTTTTCTTTTATTATGTTTATTTTATTAATTTTATGCGGAGAGAGGGTGTGATAATTAACTGCATGAAAAAATATTCAACACAAGCGCAGCTATTTTGCACGATTTAACCTTCACTGGGTTCGCGGAGTAACAAATTAATTAACTTCCATTTTTATTAACAAAGACTTCCGCAAATTAACGTCTGAATCTATTAATTACTTATACAAAATTATATTCAACATTTAATAAAATAGTTTGGAGGAAGTGAAAATAATAATAATAATAATAACGCACACACTCAACATAGCCCCGCACTAGGGAAACCCTGTGTCGCGGATGCCATGGACACACACATAGACAACCACAAATTACACCCAAACTCACGAGAGAAATAAATGTAGGCCATACAAATATTTTTTTCCGCCGGCCCGGGAATCGAACCTAGAACCTCTGCGCGGCAGTCTACAATTGTAACCGTTCGGTCACGGAGGCAGTTATAAAAATATTTTTTTCCATTGTCTTCGGAAGGATTATCAAATGAAAGCTTGCAAAATTTCGCACACAAATACACAAACGGACACAAGATTTTTCCATTTAAAAAAAATACTAAGAAGCGTGTAGGGTGAAGCCATGTCTCGAGAAAATAAACTCAAACATATTTTGAAAAACTACTGGAATATACTCCTTAACGTGTTAGTGTAGAGTCTAGTGCATAGTGAATCGTTCGTATCTTAAACGACAGAGTTGAATGTAAATGTTATTTGTCAAGCTTCACGTGCCCTTGCTGTACATAAAAAAAACTAACATAAATTTCCAATTTTGTAAAGTAATTGCGCAACTTGTGTGATAGGTTGGATAGGATATAGATAGGTAGATATAGATAGGTAGGTGTGGTAGGATGTCCTATATTTGTTTACCGTGTGTACCAATACTATCAATAATAAAAAATAAATAACAAAATCGTAACGAGTGTCTAATTGTTCATTTATTAACTTATAATTACTTATAATAAAGGTACATTTTTTAAATAATAACATTTATATATACAGAAGTGTATGTACAAGAAATATAAGCGTACTTAAATGTACTAAAGGGTAAGAAAACACGGTGAATACAAAAAAGTTGAAACTTTTTTTGTTATTAAAACTGGGAACTCGACGGCTTACCTGATGGAAAGTAGTTAACACTGTCTACGTATATTGGTGATAGTAAAGAAATATTTTTAATATAAAAAATGCGTTGACTCCTTCTCCTGGGCTTCCCTGGCTATTTCTCTTTTAATCTAGAACACAGCAGACCTGCTTTGCGGCGGAAGTAAATTGAACGGTGGTATCTACCTAGGCGGGTTTTACACAGAGAACTCTACCACTAAGAACTGCTAAGCAAATTGTGATAATTATGGAAAACATTTTAAAAAATTTAAGATAGGTGCGGAGGAACTATCCCGCCAATACGGTGGCTTTTGAACAGAGTGACCTGGCGAAGCATAGTCCAGCCCTTTCCGTCGAACTTAAAAATCAGCAATGTTCAAGAAGAAATTCTACACATCGATATTTCGGGAAATAAAGGATGTAAAACCCAAACTACTGCAAAGTTAGTGATGATGTCAAGATTAGTAAAAAAAATACTAATGATCTTCATAACTTATTTTTTTGCGACTGACAAAATATGAATAGACTCGAAGGCGCTTGGTACATCAATAACTAATTTTTTATAAGTTAGTTTTTACACCTTTTCCTCCTTTTTTTATATATCAAGTGACGGGACGAACCAGTCGTGCGTTTGATAGTGAGCTACACGCCTTCTCCGAAATATCGTCATTTTCGAAAACCATTCATGAACTTCAGAAATTGAAACACAGCGAATGAGTTTCGGAATATATATAGATTTTTGCTTATGAGTCTGAACTTCAGGCTGATTTTCAATTTGGCGTTATCTACCCACGAGATCGTCAGAAGATACGAGTCGTAAGAATTGAGGAACACGACTAAGGGGGGATTTATTACGTTTTATCTAACGGCCTCGACGATCCAACGGTTCGCACTGTGGGCACTTCTTGAGAATTCGCCAGGTTCAGGGAATTCTCCAGTGTGAGAGCCGATAATTCGCAAGATAGTCAGTCTTGTTATTATATTACGTCATAAGTAAAATTAACTCCAAAAGCATACCTTTACCTTTAATAAAATTGTACCTTTTTTGCATCACCCTGTATAGAATACAAAAATGTAATAATTCCAAAGTGACTAGGATTTGTTTGAGAGTTTTTGGAACTGATATTCTTTCTTTAGTTCTTTCAAGTTTTCTTCTAAAATCGCCACCTGCGAACAAAACAATGACACGTTGAAATGCTTACCGCGAATAAACCCACAAGGAAAATATATTTCGTTCGAAAATTAAGTCTTTTGTAATATTTATTTGACCGGTAACATATTCTATCTTTATCGAGGTATTACCCGACAGGAATTACCCATTTGACTCACCAAGTATTTGATTTAGGGAATCACACACAAGTGTGTGAAGCGTCGATAACGACGCGAAATTGGCTTTTGCCGACAAAAATTCATGAACGCATAGCGCGAATTCATGATTACGCCTTGTTTTGGGTTAGTATGGAATGAATACTGATAAGAAAGAACCTCTTCAATTTAAAATTGATTTCGGTCCGTACTTTAAAAAAAACATTTAATCATAGTATAATTCGACAAGTATAGTAACTCCATTCATAGGCCGCAACGCGGCTTACGCACACATTCGCATAATAATAAAAGGCGCGTGTGACGACCAGCGCTGTGCAACGCGAAATTATGCGGCAAATGTGTGCAAATGCATTCAAACATGTTTTTTTTTTTTTTTATAACATCAAGTGACGGGACGAACAAGTCGTGCGTCTGATCATAAGCTACACGCCTGTCCATAACAGTTACAGTGCCACTCAGAGCTTTAAATTGCAAAGATCTGAGGGGCACTACCACTGCGCCCGTCACCCTGAGACATAAGTTGGCAAGTCCCATGTGCCCCTAATTTACTTCTATGGCGAAAATTAATATTATACAATACAAACTACATTTAAGTATAATTTGCTATACCCCGCCAGGGTCCATGTGAAATGGAAAACAACTCTAATTTGTTGATGACGTACATTTATTTATCACCACAATTATTATGCGCTAGTAGACTCAATTAAAATCTATAAAAACCACACGTCCTCCAAAAACTGATATGCCCAACTAGTGGTCGAAAAGGCTCGAGCCTTTTAGCCCTTTTTTAAGACTCGCCGCTTTATAGCGATGGCTAGAAGGCTAAAAAGCTAAATAACTCTCAAGCCCTCGAGGCTAATTGTATTTATGGCTTTTGCTAGCCGTCAAAAAGGCTCAAGCCTTGTAGCCCTAAATTTAAAGCTTGCGAGTCTTTTTTAAAGGCGGACTCACAAAACAGTAGTTCTAAAATGGCTCACTAAAAAAGGGCTTGAGGCTTTTTTTAGGCCTAGGCTTTTTTAAAGCCTTTTTAGAATAGTGGCGTCGTGGCGTAGTGGTTAGTAATCCTGACTGCCAATCCAGAGGTCGTGGGTTCGATTCCCACCGAGGACAAATGTTTGTGTAATAAACATGATAATTTGTTCTGTGTCTATAAATGTATATGTTTGTTTATCGGTTGTCTAGTATCCATAACACAAGCTTTAGTTTGCTTACTTTGGGACTAGATAGCGTTGTATGCATATGTAGTGACATATTTATTATTATCCATTTATTATTATTAATATTGTAGCCATCACTATAAAGCGGTGAGTCTTAAAAAAAGGCTAAAAAGCTCGAGCCTTTTTGACCGCTAACGCCAGTCTTCTAAAAAGGCTTTAAAAAAAGCCTCGGCCTAAAAAAGCCTCAAACCCTTTTATAGTGAGCAATTTTAGAACTACTGATTTGTGAGTCCGCCTTTAAAAATGGCTCGCAAGCTTTAAATTTAGTTCTAAAAGGCTCGAGCCTTTTCGAACTCTTTTGTGAGTCCGCCTTTAAAAAAGACTCGCAAACTTTAAATTTAGGGCTAAAAGGCTCGAGCCTTTTCGACCACCATGCCCAACCGATCAGCCCCACTCTCATAATTCAATAGGGATTTAAACCGCGGCGGGAAAATAACACGAACCGATGTTGCCATTTTGTATATCGAAATTATATCTACACTCATAGAAAAATATAGAATACTGACATTCGGCCACCCGGTAACGTGCAGCCTCCCGACAAACACACCCAATATAGTTTCAACTTTATCCACTATAATACATTCATGACATTCTGTAATATTTATTAATACAAAGATCGAACACAGGAAAAATTCGCTTCGATCTGGCCGGATTCGAACCGACGACGTCTTTTAGCAAACCGTGACACGCTATGCCAACTAAGCCACGAAACGAACCAGCGGGCCTTACGAATTGTTCTGTGTGCTTGTTGTCGGATCTTTATATTTGGTTCTATCGTCGTCGTTGAGTCGTCGCCTAAGTGTTCGATCTTTGTATTAATAATTATAACAAAGTAATATTACAAAAAAATAATTGAATACCAATTCAATACAAATTTAATTCTGTAATATGTTAACACAATATTCTAGATTTTTATTGAATTGATATTTAAATATTTTTTGTGAAATTACTCCACTAGTTTGCTATAATTATTAATACAAAGATAGAACACTCAGAAAAAATTCCTTCGATCCGGTCGGATCCGAACCGACGTATTCTCGCATACCGTGCCACATGCTATACCAACAGAGCCACGGAACGAACCAACAGACCTCACGAATTTTTCTATGTGCTTACGTCGTGTCTTTGTATTTGGTGTTTCAACGACTTTTTAGTCGTAGCGCCATCTATGAGAAATCTATGAAATATTTATCACCCAGTTAGTACCTTTACAGCTACCAGTCCTGGCGAGAGATGTCGCTATTCACTGTATTTTAAATTTTTATTGAATTGATATTCGATTATTTTTTGTGAAATTACTCCACTACACACATCAAAAGTGTCTAGGGATCAAGTACGTTTAAGAGTATTGCTGCAATTAGGGTTAATTATATTAACTTTTTTGTATCGCTATTGATACTTTTTAGTGAGTTTTAACATTTAAATAAGGAATATTGTTTAAAATTCGATAATAAGAAGAAAATCGATTGTCAATGTGGTTTTGTATAAAAATGAGTTATAGCGTTTTGACAAAATCATTACAATATCTGCATCGGAACCGAAACAATTTACATTATTATGGAGAGACGACATCATTTAACACGAGAAGTGATGATGCGAGCCGTCGGAATGTTGGAAGCTGGTTCCAGGCAACGTGCTGTGGCTTTCACTCTTAACACTACACAGAGCGTCATAAGTCGCCTCTGGACGCGCTATCGCATGACGGGCAGCGTGACCGAGCGACATGGAGGACGATCTCGCATCACGACTCGCAGACAGGACCGGTATATCCAAAATACTGCTCGACGGAATCGTACCATGACCGCCATGATGTTGGTTACGAGGCTCCACAGCTCCTCGGGCTTGCTAATAAGCGATCAAACCATCCGAAATCGTTTACGTGAAGTGGGTCTGCGATCCCGAAGGCCGCTCAGAGTTCCACCTATTGCACCCTGCAATCGCAGGACCCGTTTACGATGGGCTCGCGAACACAGAAACTGGGAGGAAGAAGACTGGCGCTATGTGTGCTTTTCGGATGAATTCCGCTTCGGTATGAGACCGGATACAAGACGTACTCGAGTTTGGAGAACATCTGGACGTCATGAACGTTTGAGATATTGTCAGGAAGTTCATCCATATGGTGGGGGAACAATAATGATATGGGCCGGTATTTGGATCGGCGGAAGAACCGATCTCATTTGGATCAGGGGTAACCTCAATGCTCAAGTTTACGCAGAGAGGATTGTTTCAGATGTTATCATCCCTTTGCGAGGCCAGTTGGGTGATTCATTTCAACTAATGCATGACAACGCACGTCCACACACGGCTAGAGTCGTAACAGGCATTCTTGCCGAAGCTCCTATCAACGTTCTGCCGTGGCCTGCTCAATCGCCAGACCTCAATCCAATTGAGCACGCATGGGATATGCTTCAAAGAAGAGCTGTGCCGAGTATGCATACCGTACATACTCTACAACAATATTTTGACTTGTTACAAAACACATGGGCGGCCATTCCTCAAAGTGATTTTGATGAACTCATCTTAAGCATGCCAAATCGCTGTAATTGTGTGATTCGTGTTAATGGTGAAAATACAGATTATTAATTTTCTTATCTTTACAATAAAAATGAGCAAAATCATCATTTTCGCCATTTTTTTGTCATTTAATTGACGCCGTTAATTTGAGTTTTTTCCCACAATTTGCAAAAACGTCAATTTCAGTTTATTTTAATTAAATATAGGGGTAAGCGGTTAAATAAAACATAAGCATTAAAGTAAGAAGTCGTCCTGGAAGACTGGATTTGGTAAATATTGCTTAAATAATGTTTATTTCAAAAATATTCACTTGATCCCTAGACACTTTTGATGTGTGTAGTTTGTTATAATTATTAATACAAAGTTCGATCACTCAGAAATAATTCCTACGATCCGGTCGGATTCGAACCGACGTCTTTTTGCATACCGTGCCAGACGCTATACCAACTAAGCCACGGAACGAACCAACGGACGTCACGAATTTTTCTATGTGCTTCGGTCGCGTCTTTGATTTGGTTTTTCAACGACTTTTTAGTCGTCGTTAGTATAGCGTCTGGCACGGTATGCAAGAAGACGTCGGTTCGAATCCAACCGGATCGAAGGAATTTTTTCTGAGTGTTCGATCTTTGTATTAATAATTATAACAATATTCTAAGTTATTTTTAGCATTTATGAAATTAACAAGTGATTATTTATTAATAAATTACACTTTTACTTTCTAAATTCATAAAAATAATAACAAATTGACTTTGAACTGACAACCAGTACTATCTCAATTTTGACAACTTTACAGATAAAGAAAAAATCATTTATATAGCATCTGGTTTATTAAATAAAAGTATGTAGTGTACATACATACATCAGTGCGTAATAAAAATATCTAAAAACCACGAATTTTTATTTGATAAACCAGATACTATATAAATGACACAAACAATTTTTTTCATCCTGTTAAGTTGTCAAAAGATAGTACCAATTGCCAGTTCACAGTCGAAATATAAAAACCTGATATATGCAATCTGAATGTCAGGATTCTATATTTTTCTTTCGGTTCAGATATAATATAATAATTACTTTAAATATAATTTAATAACTGTCTCTGTGGCCGAA